TCAATGGCTCGTAGCCTAATCTGGTGGCCAAAACTCGATCAAGAGAGAGAGGAGCTTGTGCGCTACTGCGACAAGTGCCAAACCAACATTCAGAGCGACCCCAAGGCACCAGTACACTTCTGGATTAAACCAGAGCAGCCCTGGAGCAGGTTGCACGTCGACTTCGCAGGCCCAGTCAAGGGCGAGGTTTTCTTGGTGATCGTCGATGCATATTCCAGCTGAGTGGAAGTATAGATCATGCCATCGATGACTTCTACTACCGTAATCAGGAGCCTGCGCAAGTGTTTTGCAACACATGGGTTGCCGGACGTCACTGTGTCTGATGATGGAACTGCATTCACCAGCCAAGAGATGCAAGACTTCCTCAGGCTCAATGCTGTCCGCTTTATGTACACAGCTCAATTCCACCCTGCAAGCAATGGCAGGGCAGAGCGGATAGTGAGGGAGGTGAAGGCGACGCTCAAGAAGCAGTCGGAAGGAGATACTCAGTGCAGAATCTCGTGATTTCTGTTCAAACAGCACACCACCCCCCACTGAGTGACCGGCAAGACACCAGCTAAGCTCATGATAAGACGGAAGTGGCGTTCCCCACTGGACAGGCTTCATCCAGATCGGATTGGAGAACGGGAGAGACCAGACCCGAAGGTGAAGAAGTTCCAACTATGGGATGCGGTCTACACGAGAAGTTTCATCCCTGGCCCGCGATGGAAAGCAGCAAAGGTGGTTGCCATAATTGGCCCGGTCTCGTACAGAGTGCAGCAGGAGAACGGCAAGATTCATCGACGCCACCGTGACCAGCTGCGCAAGGCTTGGCTGGACGTGAGCATCAAGCCAACGAGCCGGGACAATGCTGTTCAACGGCCACCCATCACCTGTCGGCAAGAGCCAACGAAACAAGGGCCTTCAGCAAATGCAGAGGTCCATGACCAGCCGACAAGTCCTCCTCCTTGAAGATCGTCAAGACAGCGTCGACCAGTCTCCAGATTGGAACCTTATGTGTATTAACTAACGAGACTGTGCAGCGTACTAAGAGGGGAGGGATGTAATGGGTAGTGACAAGTTTCACTGTTTTCGCTATGTTTAGCGGACTTCGTGCTTTGGTTGGCAACCTTGTTATCTGTTTGTTATCGGATCAGCAAAGTAAAACCTACCAGTCGTAACCAAGACAGCGATATGTTCGGCTCAAGTCATTACACTATGCAACTTCCGGGATGCAAATTTAACTAGACAGCAACCAGACTGCTTTTGCGGTTCTCCTGTGCATTCCTATGGGAAAACGCCAGAACATTTTGTCTCGTCGTCCGAAAATGACAAGAATCACTTTTGTTATTTTCGTGGTACCGAACCGTATGTATACCTTTATTTACGTTGTAACTGTGTAATTGCTTTAGTTACGCCATTTGTCTTCATCAGTGAACGATATTAACCTTCGCTATATATCAGACCCAAACCTGTGTTCTACTGAAGGTGTGTAAACACAAGCGACGAATATAAGCAAAAGAACAATCGAAAGGAATGTAAAGTGTGTTCAAGGTTCGCAGAATTCTGGTGGCACTAATATATATTGCTAATATGCCAGTCCTGCCACATATATGAAAATGACCCTGTCGTGCATCTTTACGAGGGGTAAAAAACATGCAAATCGTAGATAATGAAGTACGTTGTCATGAAAGGCACCTCTTTGTTATTTCCTATTCTGGGAATCTTTTATCGGGCACTGCTTTCTGACTTCTTCGTATTGTAAGATATTTCGAGCGTGCAGGTGATATTTCGAACAAAGAAAGAGCATTTTCGCACACATGCACGAGTAGGGAGAATAAAGCAATAGTTACCTATTCCAATTCGGAGTATTTAACTTGGCCTTCCTTTATTTTGGTCGTCTCCGTACACAGGGAGTAAGGGATCCAGTGTTACTGCGTATTTCTTCTCGTCTTGCCAACGTTACTAGAACCCTCAGTTGGGAAACTCACTGTTGAAACATGGGCCGCTGGCGTCCACCGAGATCGAGCTAACTACGACAACAGCGCCACCCTTTATCATTTGTCTTTACTTGGTCACCTTGAACTTTCAGACGCATGTTTTTTTGTGTAAAACCCAACTGAAAAAAAAATTGTAGTAACTCTTATTGGGAGTTTAGTACAAATCGAGGGCGCGTGATGTTTTCTAAAATCTTTAGTTTGCAAGGTTTTGCGGCACAATGAATATTGTTTTTATACAACCATGCCTCAGCGGTGATTTCAGGTAGCGCGTCCCGACCTAGGTGCATCTTAGCTTCGGTCGTAATTCGCGGCGCGCCCGCTGGGGAGACGGGGGTGGCGCACCACCGTATCTGTTTCGGCACCATAATGGCCGATTAAGGCCAAAATAAAAGTCATCTGTTTTTCCTGGAGTGGCCGCTGTGAGAGAAATGGCGGCGTTGTGTTCGCCATTAGCTCGGTTCTGGAGGACGGGCCGATGCCACTTTTTTCAGAGCAGTCTGTATGGCAGTTTCCCAACTGAGTGGATTTAGTAACGTTGCCTCTTGCTTGGTTTTCCAGATGGCTTTTATTCCCTCGGTACTTACATTGCACAGCAAAAAAAACAAACAAAAAAAACAACAACGCCGACGCCGAGTTTGCGTTAATAACACCCGACACTGCACATCAATCAATATATGAAGGTGTTTTAGCACTCTGTACGATGACATGAATTTGACGCAAATGGCATGAAATTGGGGAATGTCCAATCTTCTGCTACGTTATAATAATTTGTAATCTATTCGTTAGAGCACTCTTGCGCCAGCTGAACCTCTAGCGTACATTATAATAACTCTATGGCGCGAGCAGCCGATACACGCTGTGTACAGTGCTAATCACACTTGTCCATAACGCGCGAGCGAGCGGCTTTCTCCGGGGAGCGCTAGACTGGTGGCATTCGCGGAACTAAGCTAGTCACGTGTGGGTGTCCTGCCCACTCTATCAGCTTGATAAGCGATAAAAGTAAAGTGCTTTAGGATATATTTTTGTTTTTTGTTTTTTGATCACGAAATCGTTGATACGCCTTCATGTTTTAGTGTGTTTATTGTTCGAGCAATGAATGATGTTTGTAAAAAGCGTGCGAGCAGCCTTCCGCGTTCGCCGCCAGCTGATAGAGTGGGCAGGACGACACCCCTCGAGCGGGCCGTTCCATGTTGCACCACGTGACTAGCTTAGTTTTCGCGAATGCCACCAGTCTAGCGCTCCCCGGAGAAAGTCGCACGCTCGCGCGTTATAGACAAGTGTGATTAGCACTGTACATTCAAACGCGCTATTGCTTGACTGACGGCATCTCAGCCATTTTTCATCCAAATCGTTTTTTGTTTTGTTACGCAAGCTTGTGTGACTCAGCTAGAGCTAGTAGCCTTGGATACTGCTTAGACGCCAATTTTACCGCACAACTCAGGCACTGAGTGCACCATCGCGTCACGCGCCGGCCCACTCAGTCACACAAAGGATTTTTTCAACCTGAGACAGACAGAGATGTAGGCACACTAATGCTAAGGGACAAGGGGCCTTTGTTGGATACAAAGAAAATTGGTGTGTAGGTTTATAGAACCTTGACCTTGGTCTACCTCAACGGGTGACGAGTCTCCTAGCTGTAGATGAGAAATTTAGCCACTGCAGTACCACCGCTACTTGGGGTCGTTAGCGTGCACACGCAGTAGTGGTACACGACCGCCAGCCGGTACGATGCTCATCCAAATCAAAACGGGCAGGGGTAGGGATTGAGCCCAGGATCCTTGGGTTCCGCAGCGCGAGCTTCCGCTCCAGGTTCTCCGAGACAAGCTGCTGCTCTATTCGTGTTGACGACTATAAATGTCGCGGTCTGGGAAATACGTTTCGGCGGCACAGCCTTAGAGGAATTCTCCGGGAATATATAGTATTCTATTAAACAATTGAATTATATCGTCATTGCTTTTAGGAATCTCATTCGCTCAATATCCGAATTTTTAATCCTCCGCCGCACAAGTGATTAGTTTCAAGCGGAGCTCGACTGCTCAGATTGCACCAGCAAAACATACAGCGTTTTCGCTCGCAACAGCGGAAGCTTTGACATAACATTGGGCAAAGAGTTCCACATCAGATGTTTACTGCTTCCTCGGTAAAATAGCATTGATATAGAAGAGACAATATTTACGCTATTGAGAGAAGCTCAGTTCTATGACAAGGATTTTTCTACGCACCATAAACTATGTTGAGCAACACAAGGAATAAGTCAACACCCGCGACTCTGACGTTGCTATGCCTGATGTGATGTCACGACACAACCAACCATGCACACTTGCGACATTTGGAGTGGTTTCGTATTAGTACTTATAAGTGATTTAACCAATATATAACATCCTTTACTGAAAGAAATATCACATCTGGCAATATTTTAGCCCTATCTACGTCATATGATAAGCTCAAAACCTTGGTAACTTCCGGGTATCACAGAACAATCCCTTTAAGGCTGCTTCCGAAGGCGTTGTCTTCTTACGGTACAGAAGTTTTTGTGTACCAACAAAAAATCACCAAGACACCTGCGCTTCATATTAAGCATGGCTACCAGTTCAAACAGATAGCTTGGCATGCGATAGTTGAGACACCAATTTTTCGGTTACATATACGTAACGTAAGAAAACGGAAGAAAATTGTGCAGTGTGAACCAGCCTTTCCGGTTTCTTTACGTGGCGTCACTACCAACAGTTGCCACGCCGTGACTTCACAAATCGTGGTCCTGGCCTTTTCCCATTAATGGCCATGGACGAACTTGGTCGTGTGTGTGAAACGCGCAGTTAAAGCTTGGAATCATCGTATTCGTAAGTAAAATATGCCAACTTGAACAGTGTGATAATACTATTACTTCCAACGATGAAAGCAGAATTAATCTCTTTCAAGACGTCATACTGAGTGTATCTGGCCATTTCTGTAAGGCCCACAGCAACGACACTTTTGAGCGCACGCCGCCAATAGTCGTCCGACCTATTGCTTTTTTTTCAGGCATGGTAGACGCCCTTGACGAGTCAGCAGGGGATGTGCTTGAGGCCCTGTATGAAGCTGGCATGCTGGCAAACACCATCATTGTGATGAGTAGCGCCAACGGTGGCCTCTCCTCCGGAGTCGAGTCCAATGCGGGCAGCAACTTTCCGCTGCGTGGAGGCAAAGGAGCCCTCTGGGAAGGGGGCACCAGAGCCAGCGCCTTCATCTGGAGTCCCCTGCTATATCAGAAGAACAGGGTGTCCGACCAGATGATGCACATCACCGATTGGCTCCCCACGCTTTACGCCGCTGCCCGTATGTTGCTTCTAAAATCAACTTCCAGGTACAGATTTTAAGTAGTGTAAAACAGGAGGGGAGAATAGAAGAAACATTATAAACATACTACTTAAGCTCGTTGCTTCAGGATGGCTGACACTCGAGGTGTTTATGTAAAATTTCTACACGGATGTGCTCACAAAAATTGTACAGTCCTGTGTGAGTCCAGAGTGCAGTCACATAAAGCACTGAATATCCTGACTTGTACAAGTCTCTTCATTGCTTGATCTTGCCGCGGGCGCTCCTATTGAATGCCGGTGATCCGTCGCCATTTTTGACTCATCGCGTATCTCACATCAGGACGCGCACGCTCCTATAGGTCAGTTGTGGATGCTGGTTACGTACCGTAATTTGAGGGCACGTTCCTATTGGTCGACAGATAAATGCCGGCGCCGTGCCACCGCGCTTCGAATGCGTCCCAGCATGCACCATCTTGCGTCTCATCATGCAGCTGGCGGCGGTACTTTGAAACTTGATAAAACCCATCCAATGCTTTAAAGCCACAGCAATTGCTCCGACAACCATTCTAACCCTAATGTATATTTATACATGTTTCACCTACGTATCTTGTACTTTACGTGGTGGAGCCATCACAAGTGCCTGCTAGAAGACCTCTAACGTAAGCGGCGCGAGGCTCAGGTCGGGTGACGCTGCGCCACCGCCACTTCGGCTATCTAGCAGGCGGTGTTCGAGGCTCATATGCCACAGTTGTCCTCAGCGCATGCGGCTCATTAGATGGCGCGCGTGATAGCTGGCGTAGCTTCGCAATAGAAAATACCTAAAACAAGCTGGCACGGTTATATGGTGCGGCGCTCATTTCACAATCAACTGAACAAGAAACCAATCGTGGAAAAAACCACACAGGGAGTTTGAGTTTTCCTTATACTTTCATTTTGCGATATCGACAACGGTCTTTTTACGACGCCCTACATTTACATTATTTCAAGTGGAGAGGAGGGGGAGGTAGAGCCTATAACACCTGTCATTTTAAAATAAACAAAAGATGGTTTGACACAAAGTGGATCCATTCTCGCTCTATTTAGCAGGACGAGTTTCCTTGGCACGAAAGTTAGCGAGAAATCTTGTACCTTTTAATGGAGACTACAGGAGGGACATATAATCGCTTTGGAATAAGGACCATATTCTACTCACAATCCTATCGCAATTCCACCTTACATTTCGCGATCCTCAACTTTATCACAACGATCAAAGCACATTCAAAAGACATCATTTTTAAGATATCATTTTTTTGTAATGCTCTTATAAACCCCAATCAATCATCAACTGGAATCGCCTTTTCGCTTTGACCGCAAACGATATTCTGTTGCTTTATTTGAACTTTTTTTTCGGGTAATTTTGTAATCGTGCCAGTGTACCAGTACGGTGCTCATTGTCGATGACATGTTAAGGATTGCGGAGATGACTGCCTCCAGTGGTATCATTCTGACGTTCTTAGTGCTTCTTCGTATGTGACGCCAAAGGCCGCGGAAGTCAATGAGCGCTGTGCTGAAGGCGGAGCTTCTACTGATGTTTTTGCCTGTCACCGACCATAATATCTTCTGTTCGTACAGAGTCATAAGTCTTCGTAACTAAGTCGTTTACACTCTTATGTGGATGTCTGAACCAGCCTAAACATTCTTCCGAGATCCGGCAAGACCATGATGTATTTTTTTTCTTTCTTTTCAGAAGGCAACCCTTTCAATTTAGGTACACTGGATGGCCAAAACTTGTGGAACCATCTTTCTTACAACTTGCCATCTCCACGCTACGAATTATTGTACAATATCGATCCCATTGACCAAACGTCGGCCATTCGTTTCTTGAACTACAAACTGGTTCTGGGAGAATCTTCCGGCTCTGAAGAAAACGACCACCGCCTTAAAACGCCAGGCAATTCTCGCCCCTATCGGGACCTGGACATCGCCATGGCGCAGTCTAAGGCCGCGAGGGTGCTCAGAAACTTTCACAACAGAGGAATCCTTTTCATGGACAGTAATTGGAGACAGAAAGCTGCACTCAACTGCGGCGACGATGAGAGGGAAAACTTTGTGCCGGGAGCTCCTCCGTACCTATTTGACCTGGCGAAGGATCCGTGTGAAATGCGCAATATTGTACTCATAGAACCCGGAGTGAGTTTACGGCAGTGGTCCTCTCTTTGACGATTTTCTTCTTTGCCTAATTCTTATTTAACAACAACAAAAAAAAAACTAGCCTGGCTTTCACATTCCTCACGCGCAATGAAGGTGCGATGGCAGTAATGTGCAGCTCCATCCCTACTAAGCAGCTCCCGTTCCCACGCAGTGGAACGCAAGGAGGAAAGAGAGGAGTGCGAGCGCAAATAGTGAATACATCTTTCTTCGCAAAATTCCAATAGCCTTGGTGCAGAGAGTAGGAATGGCTAAACCCGATCAGCGTCGGGGTCTCCCCCTTTCAATTGGAAATGGCGGCTGCCGCCACCTATCATCGAGTCAACCCGTCAACACAAAGCAGACAGAAGTCTCTGCTGTCTTTGCAAGTCCGCCTCTGCTGTCTTGGATGCGGAGATTCCCAACCGCGCGGGTAGGATTTAAGGCATCAAGGGGTCATAAAACTATATGGGGTAAAATATTCTTGATTCTGCAGATGCGTACTGGTCCTAGTCTGTCCCATGAATACTCACACACACTACTACTGATTTAGAAGATTATTTTTCGCGGTGAAATTGCCAGGATAAAAGGGACCATTTCTTTTAGTCTTGCCTTCGCAAAGCTTGATGACGGAATTGTGGGATTGCAAACACCCGCCCGACGACAAGCGAGCGGGTCTGATGGATTGGACACGAGAACTGCGTGAGTACTCGACTTCGGCAATTAACAATCAATGCCTCAAAGGCACTCGCTTAGTGGATCATGTGCAGCCACTGCGGTGATGAAAATTGTCAAACTTTCACAATGCCTGGGGCTGAGCGCGCGTTTTTAAAGTGATAGCGTTTAGGAGCTCATGCCGCGGAAAATCCCAACGTTACTCAATCAACTCAGGTGGTAATTTACCGCGGAGAGCGTGATTTCTTCTCGTACCCCTCAGCCGGGCTAACGCTGTTCGAAGCGCCAACATTCTTGCTCTCTGCGGCGCGTCTTGCAATAGCAGTTCAAAATACGGCCGCAGAGGGCAAGACAAATGAAGCTTCAAACACTATTTCCGAATCTAAGGGTTATCAGCAGAAACTGATGTGTGTCAGCGCATGTCTTAGAAGGGATCACGCTCTCCGTGGGAGTTTGCCAACTAAGTTGGTCGAGTTACGTCGGAAAAGCCGGCGTCGGCGTCGGTGTCGGTAGGACAAAAAATCCTGATTTGTGAATAGGGTCCTGACGTCATACCCAAACGACTTCACACCGGAATTTCAAACAACTCACAACGATCACGGCAAAGGTGACGTCACGCGTGAAATGAAAGTGATTAAAGCATGACATGTTAATGTGAATTAAAGGTCGCCGTATGATTTTACTTTATAAAGTTAACCATTAGCTTTGAACAGCAAACTTCAGAGAAATTTAGGCGGAGGCGGGATTTGAGCCCACTACCCTTCGATTGCGAACCGGACACGCGACCAACTAGACAACGCCGACGTTTTTGTATGTCTTTGTTACATAGAAGTTTTAAACCTTAAACAAATTTACAAGAACTCAGGCGAGCATGTTGCTGGGGACATTTCAAAAATCTGAATTTTTAAATAAAACACACACAGACACAAAACGGACATTTAAATAATATGGCAATTAAGGCACAGGGTAAGGAGTGCCACTCAGTCAGGAGGATCGTTCATGTACTCGTAAACGTTTCTAACTTTCTGAACCTCCTTAATAAATAGAGATTTGCTAGCTCGGCGGTATTCAGTATTACGGTCGATTATCCTATGCCGCCAAAGGCTCTGTAATACCAACGAACATAGAAGGTCAAACGGCATAGCGTTTTTGGGAGCAACTGGAAGAAAGCGAATTCCATACGGGCTAAAGTGGAGGTCTTTCTTAATTGTCTTTTGAAAGACGTCCCAGAAAAGGTAGGCAAAGGTTACAACAAACAATAATGTTCAATAGTTTCAGGCTGGTTACAGAGCCTACAGTTTACGGTTAAAGGAAGAAATATCCCCCTGTCGTTTAGCCAGGTTTCAACAGGCAGCGTGGATGTATGCAATTGTACAAAAAAGGTTTTTGGCAGCTGTTGATGTTCGCGTTCCTGCAGCAGATCTGAATACGTCTGCTCCTGGTTGAGTGGTTGTAAATGTACGTTACTTTGGTAGTGGTAACAAGCATTTGTTTAGGTCATTGTATAAAGGTTTCTGCCCGGTTTCGAACAGGTATTCGAAAAATAAAGGTTTGGCTAGGAAATTGGCTGCATCCACAACTTCTTTTAAATGTCCCGCACACAAAGATGTTTGGGAAATTGTGAAACAACTGAATGTTGCAAATCCGTAGAAACATGAACTTAAAACATGCCCATAGAAAAAAATGCTGCCTACTCTGAAGAAGGTAAATCTTGATACCAAATGTACAAAAATATGGGCGACCCCGAGGGCTCTCCTTTCTTAGGATCGGAACAAATTGTCGTGTTGCATGCTGTCCCAGAACTAGCTTCATATGTATAAGGAAAAAAATACGGTGAAGCACATGTAGGTGACGTTGGGCTCAAAGTAGCACTAGGAGGACATAACGAAGCTTGGCAACGAAGAAAACGTTGCAGGCTGCAGCCCTTCCAAATATAGACTAATTGCGTCGGTTGATGAGCTTAGCTTAACATTTTAATTTTTTTTTTCAACATAGCTCTAATAGGTATTACTGCTTAGAATGTTCATCAAAGGAGATCCGAAATACTCGATAATGTTGTGTAACCACCACATGTCGGCGAACTGCGCGGAAATCGTAGCCCAGGGCCTAAACCAGAAGTTACTGCTCTTATTTTTGTTGGTGGCCACACCAGTTACAGCACAAAAACATTCCGTTACTTTGAAACTTTGTTTGATGATTTGTCTTCCAGGGCAAACATAGACGACATCGACGGCATGTGCTAACACTTTCACCTCACTGTCAAGGAGATAATTTTTTTTTCATTATTTATTTGGTGATACTGCCAGCATTCTGTAGAACGCCCAGGCAGGAGGTGTACAAAAACAATATTCAAGAACCAGCGGAAGCAGAACAAACAAACAGAAAGAGCCACTACTCAACCAAGTGCGAGAGTACGGCTTCACTAAAAGTATCTATTGATCTCAAATTTACAACACTTTCAGGAAGCTTATTCCACTCACACGTGGTTCTAGGAAAAAAAGGATGCTTTAAACAAAGTGGTTCGACACAATGGTTCGACAAGTGTTAATTGGTGTTTGCCTCCGCGAATTTCCATGATGCTTAAAACAATCAAGAGCAAAGGTTCCAAGTTTATTGCGAATAACAGGGGTGTGAAAGGGCAGCCTTGTTTTACTGAAGCCTCAAGGCTTATTGCTGATGAAAGAGCGCAGTTTACAATATGCCTCGTTGAGCTCTCTTGGTAGCACGATCCCATGCAATAGAAAAATGCCGATTCAATTTTAACGTGCTCAAGATATAAAAAAACAAAACAAAAACGAATGGCTCATACGGGCAAAGGTTTTAGCGAGGTCAATTCAAGAATAATGCTACCCGACCGCTTCTTTGCGAACAATCCTGAAGCGCAGAGTTGGTAACAGGAATATTAGTCATTATGCTGTGCCCCGTAACTCCAGACGTCTGATAGCCCCCGACCAAACGGTAGGCAGCATACTGTAAGCGCCTGGACAGGAGTTAAGCAAAAATTTTATAGTCTCTTGTACAAAGGGCAATTGGACGGTAGCCCTTGATGGTTTTCAATATGTCTAGGTCTTCGGCTTTGGAATGATAGCTGTGTGGCCCTGCGAGAAAGATCGAGGCAAAAGCTGGGCTTCAAGGTCTTCGCAATATACGGCAAGCAGCAAGGGGCATAGTAATTCTCTGTGCGTTTATAAAATTCCGCGTGAAGACCATCTGGACCTGGAGTTTTCGACGCTTTTAGAATGCCCACAGCGTGGCGAACATTTATCAACCTGATTCTTCCTTCATGCAAGGCACAGTCCTCATCTCCTAGACTTGGCATTAGAGATACGAGATCATGCACACACTATTTTTCTTGCGCAGCTCCGAGTGAACCGAAAAGTTTCTCATAATATCGTCCAAAGCGTGTAAAAATTCGATAGGGTCACCGGCGACTCCACCTCCAGATTGTATTTCGGTTATCTCTTTAGAAGGGGAAAAGTTGCGCTCCTCGGTCAAAGCCTGTCGCATTAGTTGCTCGCTCGCAAGGAAGTGCATACAGCGCGATCACACCATATTTCAAAACGGAGAAGCAAAGCTTTCAGTTCGAATATTTCTTCTGAGTATAAACCCGGTCTTGTGCTGTCAAGTTTATGTAGGATGTACAATTCCTGCCAAAGGTCTCGTTCCTTGAATCGTCTACAAAACAAGCAAGCCTTCGATTGCTTTATAATTTAACACCTGCTTCAGCAGGTCCCATTTCGCAAAAATTCATAATTCCGGGTATTTACATATGGAATCAGCAGATTGATTGACCTTATCTCAACGGGTTTTATTGCTCAAGAGAGAAGGGCTCATCTCCCACAATTTCCAGACGCGCCAGTGATGGGGTGACTTAGGAGTTTCAAAACGTAAGTAAATAGGCAGTGATCGGAAAAAGAATGAGGGAAACGCTGTAGACTGCGATTTGGTTGTTGAGAAAACTAGAGACATAGATTTTGCCAGGTTGGGCGTGAGAAGAGTCTTTAAAGTGTATATAATGTACTCTACTGCCTCGGCTCAATCCAACGTCTCTGTGGTTAGAATTGTTTACGAAAACAGTTTGGGCTTTAACGCCGCTATGCTGGGGAGAGAAAGGTGAGACCCCATCGTTTCCATGGCATATACAATGGAAATACCCAAACAAGCAAAACATCTATCAGTGCCAAGGAAAGGGGCTAGGTCGTTGAAAAAGATGAATGTATTTTGAAGATACTAACCGGATATACACAAATCACCAACCACTAAACTCCTTTTAAAGAAAATCGAAACAATTCAATCTGCCCAGGTCGAAAACGCCGCATGAAATGGAAGCGTAATCTAGGCACTTCAGGAACAAAACA